CCCGACCTTGGAGGACAAGTGGGCGTGACTTGCGAGGAAGGGAAAAACAAAGAAGAGGATACCCATAGGGCGCATAATGCTGATTCCCGTGTTGTCCGTTTGACGCTGTGCCGCATTCAGGCGCATTATGTTGGTTCCCGTGCTGTCCGTTTGGTACTACACTACTTTGTCGGGGCTTTTCCGACCACATTGGAGCCGTGTTGGGCAGTCCCTGGGCACTGGAGCGTCTCCGACCACTTCGGGGCTCTCTTAGGCCAGTCTTGGGGCCCTCTTGGGGGCCTCTGGGGGCTTCCTGGAAACTTCTTGGAGGCTTCTTGGGGCCTCTTGGGACCTCCTGGGGATTATTTGGGCGGAGAGCCCGGAATGTCGGTCCCTGCCCCCCCTTCTGGGGCCGTTCCTGAAGCGTTCCTGGAGCCGTCTTAGGTCGTCCTGGGGGCGTCTTAGGCTGTCTTGGGAGCGTCTTCGACCGTCTGGGTGCCCTCCTGGGAGACTATGTGGGGTCTCTCGGGCCGCCTTGGAGCGTAAGCCGAAAACGGAGAAGAACTGAAATAACTGAAAGAAATCAATGAGTTTGGACTCTTGGGGGTCTCTTGGGAGACCTCTTGAAGGACAAGTGGGCGTGATTTTCAAGGAAGAGAACAGCAAAGAAAAGGATGCCCATAGAGCGCGTGACGTTGATTCCCGTGTTGTCCGCTTGGGGCTGCGACGCTTTGTCGGGGCGTCACCAGCCATCGTGGGGCTCTCTCGAGGGGTCTTGGGGCCGTCTTGGAGGCTTCTGGGGGGTTCCTGGAGGCCTCTTCGAAGCTTTTCGGTGCCTCTTGGAGGCCTCTTGGGGGCCTCCTGGGGGCCTCTTGGGGCCTCCTGGGGGTCTCTTTGGGCGGGGAGCCCGAAATGTCGGTCCCTGCCTCCTCTCTGGGGGCTTTCTTGGAACGTTCCTCAGCAGGCCTGGGGGCACGGGGGCCTGGTCTGACCGAGATGGCGACGGATGGGAGGGGGGGGGGGTCAGGGAGAGGCGATATAAGGCGAGACGCTGGTTTCCTCGCTGTCGTCAGGTGAGCTCAGCACGCTACCATGCGAGCCACCAACGAATTTGCGGCTGTTCGTGTGAAGGCGCGAGGTGAGCTCAGCGTGCCGCTATGCAAGCCACCGGCAAGGTTGGTGTCTTGAGAGCCACCGGCTGAGTTGGGGCCGCGCGTGTGAAGCTCTGAGGTGAGCTCAGCACATCACCAGGCGCGCGACCGACTAAGGTGGGCCTGTGCGCGTGAAGGTATCAAGTGAGCTCAGCACGCCACCATGCGAGCCACCAGCTTCGGTGGGGCTGCGCGCGTGAGAGAGTGGTCAGGAGGACTCAGCACGCCACCATGCGAGCCACTGGCAACGCCGGACCATTGAGGGGCGCGTTTGGGGCGCCTCTGGGGCCCACTTGATGGCCTCTGAAAGCTTGCACGGCGGCGCTTCCGAGCTCCAACGGTGAAGAACTATAGGAAATCAATGAGCTTGGATTCTTGGGGCTATCTTGGGGAGACTCTGGAAGGACAAGTGGGCGTTGCAAGAGAACAGGGAAGAAGGGGATGCCCCTAGAGCGCATGACGGTGGTTCCCAGCGCATGACGATGGTTCCCATGTAGTTCGCTTGGAGTTGTGACGCTCTGTCGGATAGAACACATGACGTTGGTTCCCAGCGCATGACGTTGGTTCCCGTGTGATCTGTTTGAGGCTGTGGCGCTTTGGGGAGGGCGTCGGCAGCCATCCTGATGCACTCTTCGGGAGTCTTGGGGCCCTCTCTGGGGCCTCTGGGGCCTTCCTGGAGACATCTTCGAGACTTCTCATGGCCTCTTGGAAGCGTCTTGAGGGTCCCTGGAGCCTTTTGGCGTCTCATGGGGGTCTCTTGGGGCGAGAAGCCCGAAAAGTGGGACCCTACCCTTCCTCTGGGGGTCCTCTTGGAGCACTCCTGGAGCCGTCTAAAGCCGTCTTGGAGGCCTCTTGGGCCGTCGTGAGGGCGTCTTGGGCCGTCTGGGCACTCGTCTTCGGGGCGTCTTAGGCCGTCCTGGGGCGATGTTTGGGTGCTCTTGGGTCGTCTGGGAGCGCCGGGAAGCCGACCAGGCGAGACGGCGGAAAACCTTCAAAAACCCAAGGAAAACCACAACTTTTGTTGTCGCTTGGGGCTCTCTTGGGGAGCCTCTTGGAGGCCTCCCAGGCCGTCTCGGGGACTCCCTTGGCAGTCCGGACCGATCCGTCGGCGGCTAAAGACCGAGAGATGGGTCCCTGCCCTTCCTCTTGGGAATCCTCGTGGAGCGTCCATGGAGCCGTCTGAAGCCGTCTTAAAAACCTCTTAAGCCATCTTAAAGACGTCTTAAACTATTTAAGCGCCCTCGTAAGGGCGTCTTAGGCCGTCTTGGAGCGATGTTTGAATTCTCTTGGGCCGTCTTGTAGCGTCGTCGGGAAGCCGAACAGGCGAGAAGGCGAAAACCCATGAAAACCAAAGGAAAACCAAAGAATTT